TCCGCAAACTCGCGTTTTCTTGCGGACGGTCAGCAGAATTTTGGGGCGTGACCAAACCTTCAGCGAGCGGTCCTCCTTTCCTATCGAAGGTCCTGCTAGCGGGGCAGAATATAGAGTTTTCTGCGGGCGCTCGTCAATTAATCTCTTTCAGCGAGCGCTGGCCAAACTTTCAGCAGGCGCTCGGACTCCTTTCAAGCAGTTTTGGGCGTACGTCGAGCAAATGTGAGACTCTATGCTGTAGAGGTTGCATCGATGGTTTTACTCAGGTTTGAGGTACTTTCTCTAAGCGGAAAGTACCTGAGGGCTGTGCGGTTCTGCACAAAGGACCGTGCGACCCTCAATAAATTTGCATGCTCTTGCGGAAAGTCCGCGAAAAGGCTGCCGTTGGGCCGCAACTTATCTGTAAAAAAGACCGTGATAATTTTCCGAGCGTTCGACTGAAAATTGGACAACATTCCTTCAAATCTCTGCAAGCGGGTCGCAAGAAATCAGCGAACTATTTTTCCGGTGCCCGCTTGCTCAAAATTCGCATAGCCGCCTGCCCCCCGCGATTATCTGAGTAGTTCCCCCCTCGCCAGTGGCATTCTCGTGATTAGGCTTCCTCTTTCCGCACGTGTCCGTACCACAATAATATAATATCTTTTCCTGCATCTTCTGGGCAATAAAGCCACTTTCATTCAGACTCGCACCGCGTCATCGCAAATGTGATTTTTTCTTAGCACTAAAGTCCGTCGTAGCATTCGTGTTTCCATGACGCTGAGCTTGCGCTTGTCGTTCCTTGTACACCGTGGCTAAGGAATTCTGCTACTGCGTTGATTATTGTGAAGAAGAACTGGGAGACAGAACCAAACGTTCATGCAACCTAGTTTTGATCTGATCTGGAAATATATGGATTGTCTTGCAGCTATTGTATACAACTCAAAGCGTGGCGACAGATCAGCTGGAACACTAAACGAATTTCTTTGGTACATGTGTTTTCGTAGTGCCCACCATGTGACATCACGGGGCACCTTATCGAAGGCTTTCTCAAGGTCCAGAAGGGCTGCATGCAACTCCTTCTACTTTTTTCTATACTTCTTTATCACAATCCGAGTGGAGTAGATGGCATCAATAGTGCTTACTATGAACGCTGAGGGTTAAACTAACTCTGGAGGGTAAGGCTTACGTGATTCATCAGGGTTAATTCAACCCTAGCTTAGAGCAAGGTTAACTCTACCCTAACACTTCATACAAAAATTTACTCGCATCTAATAGTTTTATGGAAAACGATCAACGAGTGTTGCAGTATTTAGTATTGTTGTTGTTATAGTATTTAGTTTCGACTTCGTTTTATGTTCAAATTCGAAGTACGTGAAGCACTGACTTTTCGAGAAAAAGAATTCTAGCTTTAGTGACAAATGAATGCAACGAGGAAAAATGGTTGCGCATTCCACTCTGACAAGTGCCAAAATAGAATAATTCCTTTATCATAACATGCATTGAACCGCAAAAAAGTAGCACAAGCCCGGTATAAAACGAACTGCGCAATAGTAGAACTTACACGGCACAATTGCACACATGAAAACTCACGCTGTAAGATTGGATGCTGCACAAATATAGATGTATTATAAAAACTAGTGTTAGAAGCTTATTCGTTGATTATGCTACTATAACAGTGAAAGAATAGAAGTATGTGAATTTAGCACGTACTTAGGCACTTTGTGATGCGCAGCGCACGCGTAACTGACGCCTTAACCCTCCAGGGTTAGTTTACCTCAAAGTTCGTTGTCGAATACGGCCACAGGTTCGGTAATCGATACGAGTGGATCGCGTTCCGTGGTAAACCCTACCCTATGTTGATGAATACAGTGAATTTTTGAGGGTTGAACTTACCCTCCAGGGTTAGTTTAACCCTCAGGGTTTGTTGATGAATACGGCCACAGAACTCACTTAGTATATTATTCGAACCAGCTGCTCTATCGTTCTCTGTTTTGCTACTGTTAGCCATACTTCCTCTGCGTGACTGCTGGTACTGCTGCTTGCACAGGTGTAATCCTTGGCATAGAGGTAATGGTGCAATTTGAAATAGCCATCCCTTCGACGTAAGTTTCTCATCTTTTGTTGATGTTCGTGGCCTTCTCAGTGTCTTACCAAGTTCATCTTTAATATGGAGAAAGTGTTCTAGTCCTTTGTAAGCTCTGCTCTTGCTCTTTTGCCAGCGATATTCTTGCCCCTCTTATTCTTCTTCTTCTTGAAATTCCAATCTGCTGTAGAATTCCTTCATGCATACCTCCTTCGCCTCTTCACAGATTCTTTCGCAGTGCACTTAGCTGCTTGATAAGCCTGGCGATTTCCGCCAGCTTCGTCTTATGTCACTGCTTGTACGCACGCCTCTTTTGTCTGGTTGCTGCTTGCAATTCGCCATTCCATCATTATGTTTGCCGTTGCTTCTCCTTCCTGGTTTCGTAATTTGGGGACTTTGCTGGCTACTTGGTGGATCCGAGCAGGCTTATCCAGGATTCCTCAGGGCTTTCCTGCAAGTTTGCAAGAGCTGCTTGCAGCAGTTGCTTTGCCGTACTGGTCGTCTTTAGTTTTCACTATTTGATGCGCGTCTTGGTCCTGTATTGTTTCTTGTGCCTTTCTTTTCATTCCGTTGCATCAACATATCAAATATGTCTTATATAGAATTTCGAGTGAAACCTAGGACCCCTCCGGAAGCAACGCGCATTCGAGCCCGACGAATGTGAATAGTGGGCGAGGGTTACCATCTCAGCAAGGTGAACGGAGACGGCTAAAGTGGTTAGTTTGCCGATTGCAACGATTTAAATCTTGCAAAACCTCGGTCTAGCTACTCAACGTGGGTACTCTCAGTGGGCATGCGGGAAGTTGGCAGACCTAAAATGGCGACGATGAGATATTGCCTGTATACAAGGAACAAAGGGGAAAGGGGCAAAGTCACGCGACGGAGACTACATAAGTTCTCTACAACAGTACGAGCAGCAATAGAAGTGGAATTGATAAAGCTGTCTTAGGGATTCTGAAGAGTATATAGCTGACGTCGTGCGATTAAGCCACACTTGAGCATGAAGACAGAGAGACTGGTGAGACACTGGGAGACAGGTCTTACGAGTCATAACTGCCTATGCAGCACAGGTCGGATGTAGGGACGATAAGGGGGCATTCTGGCAGGAGCTGATAACTATATCAGCTCAATACCACAACACGAGGCGCTCCTGCTAGGAGCGGACTTGAATGGACACGTGGGAGAAAATCTATTGCTGAACGAAAAGAGTGATTCTCGCCACTGGCAATTATTCCCTCAAGTGCATATGCTCATTAGCTGCAAACTTTTTACGATGGTTAGTCTCAAAAAGCATAAAGGATAACTACGCGACAAGCTTGGTTTTGAGAGGATTTAGTACAGTACACTACATGCACACAGTAATCTCATCGGAGTGCAATAATGCCGCTTACCTTCATCAAATCAAAAAAGGTCGATGCACGAGGCAGGCCGTTACCGGCTTAAATGATTAATCATTACTACTTACAAGGAAAGGTTACCATTCTACCTTGACGATCTGTGACGTACAGCACTAAATCCGTCTTTGCACGTTGCTTCCAAATCTTTTTTTTTGCAATACAATCGTCGAAAAAGTTGTGAGCGTTGAATGCCAAATTTGTGAAGCTTAAAGCGGCATAAAATCAGCAAAAACTTTCGCAAAAAACTATGTGCGTTTTCACTTTTTTCCTCATTTACAGTCAATAAATCTGACAGAAATTACCCACTTTCAAGTGTTTTGTACAGCTTTTCGCTATCTAAGCCACTTAGAGCTTAACAAATATAAACAAACGCTCATGACTTCCTTTGGAAAATCCTTTCGCGAAAAAGCAGCACGTCTGACGTGAAGAGAAGTGTATGTACGACAAGGCGGTACTATATCGCCGAGACAACTTAGCGCCTTCCTCGAGAACTTTTAGGGACGAAATAGGAGTGAAAACTGACGACTGCCGATTAAGTCGCTTTTGTTGATGACAAATCACACCAAGCATTACACAAGTGGAATGGGTGCTGGCTCAAAATAGTGAAGTTTGTAGAGAGATTAATTAGGGCTAAACGAGAACGATGTTCGTGAAGAACTGAAAAGTGCCTGAAATGTATGCTTAGGCTACTCCTACCTAGATCGTAAAGTATGTATGATAAACGATCTAGCTCCGGAACTGAGCAGGAGAGAATGGGAATGTGTAGTATGGAAAACATATAGTGCAACTTAGGACGTAATGAAAAGAGCGAAAACATTATGCTTTTTTTCTGATTTGCCGTACGCTTTAGAAGCATGAACATTGAGGAAAAAGGATGGTGCTTTGATGACTTCTGATGGATGAGAGCTGTAACACTGTGGACACCAATGAATGTCAAGCGCGAACGATGGGGACAGATGTGACACTATGGTTAGGTATGTTTACAATTTTAACAAAATCTTTCAGAAAGTTCCACATATATAGTGCGAAACGTAAACACTGGTCAGCAATCACCTGCGGTAAGAACCAATGGAGCCATCGCTGGTGCTGCAAAACGATGATTAACTAGTATACGGGTGATAAAAGTGATCTGCAGCAATCATAATACACTTTATTGAGTATTTTTTAAAATTTTTCACGACAAACATGTTCTAATTCATAACATCAAATAATCAGAAATTGTTCTATGTAGCGAAATAAGGTACGAAACACATGTTTTTAGAATTGCGATAATCGCCGTCTTTATTGAGAAGTGACAGAACAAGAAAAATGAGAATTTTCACGCGATTTCAGTCGCAACGCGATTTGGCAATATTCCAACTGTCCAACTCACTATAGGCACATTTTATATCAGAAGATAGGGCGTTTATCAATCCAAGTAAGTTATACACACTATGCACTTGCAGTTCGCTAGTGTTTGCTCTGAAGACTTCTGGCGAATTGCCAAATCGCGTCACGACTGAAATCGCGTGAAGTATGCCCGTCCCTTGAACTATTTTCATTTATTCAGCAAGAGCGTAAACGTTGGTGATATCTTCAATCTTCTTGATCCTTTTGATATAACAAGTCATCTCGTGTGTTTTTTTGAACCATGGACCGATAAACTTATATCGTCTTTTATGTTTGCATACAAAGCCTCGGCTCTGCTTGAACTGGAATGCCTTAAACAAAAACAACATCAAGAGGTGGAAGCTGAAAGTTTGGAAGTAATTTTATATACTGTTGTTAGCTACATAGCGGATGAAAACGCGCATTAGCTTGCATGTTTACAGCCAAAAAAAAACTAAGCTGAAGGACAATCATGAATTATACTTAACGAGTGGAAGAAGCTTCAATTTGCTTCTTGAAAAATGGAAACTTGGCGTTAGTAATTCAAATCAAAGTCAATAAAATACTTTGGCGGCCACCCAAACGTATATTTTGAGAAATTTTCTAGGTGCGCGTTCTAGCAAAACCTGCGCTGTAAGCGTATTCGTCAACAATACCTGCAGAAAACCATCTTCAAATTCAATTATTCGGGTGAGACCTCCTAGAAGTAGCTTTGCCATGGTTATACCCAACAAGCATTGTAATCTTATATATAAAGCTGAATGTCTGTTTGTCTGTCTGTCTGTCTGTATGTATGTATGTCTGTGTGTACGTATGTTCCGAATAGGAAATTCCATTTCTGAACCGATCCGGACCAAACTTGGCACACATACACTTCGGGCCCCGGCGGGTGTCATAGGCTACTTTTCGTCGTCGATCGATATCGATTTTACCGATTTTTTGCAACATTTGAGCTACGGGGCTGGGGGTGGAGGAACGAACGCCTCAATTAGACACCGCCTCCGCGGACCACTGGTCCTAACACGATGCACAACATAGGACGGAAGGACCAGCAGTCCGCGGCGATGGTGCCGAATTGAGGCGTTCGTTCCTCTACCCCGGGGCTGGGAGTTGGCACAGGGGGTAATCGAGCATGCTGATCTTATACAGTGACCGCCAAAAAGTTGCGGACAAGCCTCCCTCCATTTTTCATCGCTCTATTTCAAAAGGAAAACAAGGATAAAAAATGTAGTAATCGCATGAGGTGATAGAGCTCTTCAAGATCTACAATCTACACTTTGCGTTTTTCGAAAAACATGTATTCTAAAAATTTTAAGAAACTTTTTCTCAAAAAAGTCCGAAAATGGCCGCGTCACAATGTCGCGGACAATAATTCTTCGAACGCAAAAATTTTTTTTTGAGTCCTATTCTGAAGTGGAAACACAAGTAATCCAAACGGGCAAGCGTACTACTATACAGAGCTCATCAAGAACTACACACTGGTTATGGTTGCTTCCCAGAAAACACAAGCTTGAATTTTATTTTGCTTCTTTTCAAAAAACAACTTCTAATTCCCTGCTTCAAGCCAAATTTCTTCACATGGAAAACCATGCAAGACATTCAAACAAAGCTAATCGGATAAAATGGATGCCCTTTGCCATCTTCTATGCATCGAACGTGTGCTGGTGAGTTTCTTTGCTGGAAATGGCTTCTGACAGTGCGTGTACGTGATCCCACTGCACCTCACCACTGACTTGAACCGCTTTGCAGGCTTGTAACTCGGCTTGTAGTCAATATGTGAGCCTGCAATTAGGCTCATTCGAAAGAACGAGACTTCCTCTACACGAAGGTATGCAAAAGAGATGGGTATAAGAAACAGCGGAGATTTGGCGGATGGGGTGGAAAAACGCGGCCTCAGTGGTAGGGTGAGGATATCCAGCTAAAGTTGAATAGAGCTTCTTTCGTTACCAGATCAATCCTGGAAGCTTAAAGCCGTCAATGTTCTTGTAATAAATCCATTTTGAAGCTATAGAACTGTTTTGGTGTTGATAAGAGCCTTCACTTCAACCACCACTGAGGCCGCGTTTTTCTACCCCATCCGCCAAATCTCCGCTGTTTCTTATACCCATCTCTTTTGCATACCTTCGTGTAGAGGAAGTCTCGTTCTTTCGAATGAGCCTAATTGCAGGCTCACACATTGACTACAAGCCGAGTTACAAGCCTGCAAAGCGGTACAAGTCAGTGGTGAGGTGCAGGTGGGGTCACGTACACGCACTGTCAGAAGCCATTTCCAGCAAAGAAACTCACCAGCACACGTTCGATGCATAGAAGATGGCAAAGGGCATCCATTTTATCCGAATAGCTTTGTTTGAATGTCTTGCATGGTTTTCCATGTGAAGAAATTTGGCTTGAACCAGGGAATTAGAAGTTGTTTTTTGAAAAGAAGCAAAATAAAATTCAAGCTTGTGTTTTCTGGGAAGCAACCATAACCAGTGTGTAGTTCTTGATGAGCTCTGTATAGTAGTACGCTTGCACGTTTGGATTACTTGTGTTTCCACTTCAGAATAGGACTCAAAAGAAAATTTTTGCGTTTGAAGAATTATTGTCCGCGACATTGTGACGCGGCCATTTTCGGACTTTTTAAGAAAAAGTTTTTTTAAAATTTTTAGAATACATGTTTTTCGAAAAACGCAAAATGTAGATTGTAGATCTTGAAGAGCTCTATCACCTCATGCAATCACTACATTTTTTATCCTTGTTTTCCTTTTGAAATAGAGCGATGAAAAAGGGAGGGAGGCTTGTCCGCAACTTTTTGGCGGTCACTGTATATAAAGCTGAATGTCTGTTTGTCTGTCTGTCTGTATGTCTGTCTGTCTGTATGTCTGTCTGTACGTATGTTTCGAATAGAAAATTCCATTTCTGAACCGATCCGGACCAAACTTGGCACACATACACTACGGGCCCCGGCGGGTGTCATAGGCTACTTTTCGTCATCGATCGATATCGATTTTATCGATTTTTTGCAAAATTTGAGCTACGGGGCTGGGAGTTGGCAAAGGGGGGTAATCGAGCATGCTGATCACCCCCGCGGGGGTGATCAGCATGCTCGATTACACCCCCTGCCAAATTCCAGACCCCTAGCTCAAATTTTGCAAAAAAATCGATAAAATCGATTAAAGTAATGCACGGTTTTGAAAACTAATATTGTATTCGTAATCAGCATGCTCAATTACCCCCCTGTGCCAAATCCCAGCCCCCTAGCTCAAATTTTGCGAAAAATCGATAAAATCGACATCAATCGATAACGAAAAGTGGACTGTGACACCCGCCGGGGCCCGAAGTGTATGTGTGCCAAGTTTGGTTTGGATCGGTTAAGAAATGGAATTTTCTATTCGGAACATACGGCGGAGCCGGGTATGCCAGCTAGTTACGAATATAATAATGACAGGGCCGGGCGGAGCCGGGTAAGTCAACTAGTCTATTTCTAAGCTCTATCGGTAATTATATTTTTCCGAAGCAGATTCAATCTTGAAGTCTTGGTCATAAAATACGCCTACTGAAATATTCGCCCACCTCCCACAAAAACCCAGGTAATTGTTCCAAGAGGGTTTTGAAAGCGTCCTCTCTATGGACTGCCCTAAAACATTAAGCAAGTCAAGTTGCATGGAATAAATATTGTATTGTTTACAAAAGACCAACTCTGCAACGATAGTTGTGTATTTGCCAAAAGGAACAGAAAGCCAAGATGGTAATTCGTCCATGCATGAACAGCAGAACTCCTGAAATTGAAGAACAGTTGTTGTTGTTATGGGTCGTTGAAAACATAAAATATTGATGGTAACTTTCTAATATATTCGGTTGGTTCATAAATAATGCACGTTTTCTTACCTTTTAATTTAAAAACTACTCTGCAGAATAGAGTTTTTTTTTGGGAATTTCTCTTGGACTCTGAAAGTTACTTCTTCAAGTTTTTTTTACGTATTCTTTCGTCCTCGAAAATTTCTGTAACAGTGTTGTATGCATTCAGTATGAGAGATCAAGACTCATAATTTTTTTCATCCTATTCCTACTGAATTCATGAAAAATGCTTCAAAAAGTGCTTATCGCAAATGCAAAAAAACGATTGTCACGAAACGATTGCCAAGGCCAGGTGTCTGAAAAAATCTGAGCCGAGAAGCCTTGACTTACTTGGCCGATTGTCGAAAAAATTCTAACTACATAAAAACCTTAGGCGGAAAGCAATGGCGGCACTTTTGCTGCACATAAATGGTAGACTTAGTAGCTGAGTATAGTTAAGGTAGAATTTCGTTTCACAAAGGAGAAAAAACTAGATAAGTTTGAAAATCACATTTTATGCCCTTTCTGGAATGCAAAAATGTGTCTACTTTCACTTTCTTGGCGAGATTTTTTTCGCAGTAATTTTCCCCTAAAAACAAATTTTACTTTACTATCCAGCTTATCGCTAATGAGCAATGTTTGCGCCATCACAAAGCGCTCGAGAGCGGTATGGTTATTGAAGTGATGCCCTCAAATGAAGCCTAAAAAATTCTTTTTGCAATTTCCAGGCCAGAACATCTTTTCATTGCGATCACAAAGATGGTCTTGGAGATATTGCATTTTGATTCAAAAATGAACTTTAAGAAATGTGCATTAGTCATGAACAACCTAATATATTCTAACATCCTCTGAAGAAACGGAACTAACCATGTATTGACCAAGCTTGTGACTGTCGAGCTCTTTTATCAGTTGTGTATTCAACCATACATACTTTCTGTTCAAATTCCGACACTTTGAAGGCCTTACCTCCTCTGATCTTATCTGGAATACTAATCAGCAACACTACCAAAACAACTCAGTAGATTGAGACTCACATTTCTAGAACAATTCAACGGTATGAGACTTATAACAAGTACGAGCACATAATAAGCCAACATAATTCAATCTAATAAGGTATGGTGCCGATTATTATATAACGGAACTCATCTGCTGTTGAAACATATCGTGCTTCTGTGTATTCAGTGGCTACTTTATTTTTTCATGCGTAGAACCTTACTACAAGTACAATTGTTCTTATTCTAGCATTACATATTTACACATGGACAACGTGTCCCAAAAGTGTTTGCCTATACTTTTCTTGAAAAAAAGGAAGCATGTAGAATAAGAACTCGCAACATTACTCAATATGAAATATTGTAGCGCTCGAGTTCCAAAATAACTTCTTTTGGGGTCCTGACCTAGGCCCCGGTTATGACATGCTGACAAATCTAATATGTTCGTTCATTAGCTTTCAGTCGCATTTAAATAATCTCAGACAGCGGATAGGACCCCTCCGCCGGAGAAATGGCAGGGCCGCGACGTTTCCCCAGCGGTGGGTCTGCCACTCGTCCGCCGGAGCCCTCCCATTTCTGCTCCGGAGACCTCCCATTTCTGCTCCGGAGCCCTCCCATTTTGTGCTCCGGAGCCCTCCCATTTGTGCTCCGGGGCCCTCCCATTTCTGCTCCGGAGACCTCCCATTTTCTGCTCCGGAGACCTCCCATTTTCTGCTCCGGATACCTCCCATTTTCTGCTCCGGATACCTCCCATTTTCTGCTCCGGATACCTCCCATTTTCTGCTCCGGATACCTCCCATTTGTGCTCCGGACCCCTCCGATTTTCTGCGGCGCGGCTCTTCCAAATCTGGCGTACCTCCAGAGCAGAAATGGCGTATCTTTGCAGCAGGGCCGGAGAAGCGTCCCACTTGCCTGCCAGTGATGTCACCGCGACCTACAAGAAGGGACCGCCCATTTGCCCCGCTCTCATTGGTCAACTGGGTCCGGCGCGGCTCTGGCAGATTCCGACTGTCCGGCGGAGGGGTCCGGTCGATTGTCTGAGATTTTATGAAACCTAAGTCTGGTGCGCGGTGGTGGTTCTAGGTGAAAAGCACCTCAATCGTGTGGATTGGTCTAAAATCTTGATAATACTGAAACAACCCACGTAATGAACTTATCGTAATATGTTTGTGATTACTTTTGTATGCAGTACTATAGATGGCTTTTGACAAACGCAACTACCGCGCTTACTCATTAGAACAAAGCCGCATCTATACTGTGAACAAAGAGCTGTCTTACTGTTAAATTATTTGTGGTAGTTCCAGTTTCAAAATTGTGAACACAAAATTTGGACTTTCTTTCTTTGCAAAACCACTGGTTCTCATTCTAACTCTAAAAACATATGACTTTCATTTAAAGCTCAATGAATTCTGTAAAGAGTTTCAGAATGTGGCACAACTGTAAAATCGAAACCGTCAGTACATTTGCGAGATCCCTGCAAACTATCCGGACTTTTGGGCTTGTTGTAATTAGTGTGCAGTACTCTATAGCCTCCCTCCATTTCTTCTAAAATTTTTTTTTGCGAAAAAGGTGTTTATACTACCTTATAAGGAATACTAATTGCATACTCAGCTTTGCTTAGTCCCTATTGGTCACATTGCCATATGACTGTTCTATCCTTGTTCTAAGCACCACTTTCTTGCAATTAAAATCACTGATTACTCTCTAACTAATGCGATGACCTGCTTACAACGCCACTTCAGCATGGTCAATTGTGCAAGCTGTCAAGCTTTTAGCTCGAAATTTGCAAAAACTTTATGAAATCGATAAAAGCAATTTTGAATTGAACCGCTATGCTTGTTACCACATGTAATCCAACTCTCACCTCGTTTGCCGTGCCGAATCAACTCAACATTGATTGAGAAAAAAATATGTTTGATGCCTTAACCTTCCCCGTCTACCCAATATGTTCTGCAAGACCCAATGTTGCTTGTGGGCTTTTATCAGCATGCAAGCTATACAATAATTATACGAGAAGTTAATATAAAGGTAGATACAGACAAAGACGGATAAGAGATAAATTGAATACACAAAAGGGCACGAGAGACTTGAATAAATGCGAGCATGACGGGATTGCACAAATACGGGGGCTAAGCGATGGAACATTGTGTTCACATCTGGTTCTGTAATAACAGCTTCTGCCTTTATTAGGATTCATAAAAGGAGTTGAGGGCTCGTCTACAAATCTATGGATTCAATCTAAGCACCTATATGATATTCTACACTGCTAGCTTTTTGTAGATGATATAGAACCAAACCTATATGAGAACAAGAAACAAAATTTTGATTAGCACTAGTTTTCTTTATATTACTGGTTAACTTCGTTTAGATTACATAAGCCTTTCAGTGGTATACTGGACGGCGTTCGCAAACATTCAAACCTACTGAGATTTGTTCAACCTGCTAAAGCATTACCTTTCGTATTCTGTACCAATCAAAATGCTACGCCTATAAGGTGTCAACGTTGGCAACGTTACTTTTGGGAGTCGACGGTAGTTCATTGTCAGTCAAAAGTTCTCTACCATTTAGCAACTAACAATTAGTTCAGTTAAACTACCAGGAACATAAACAGTTAGTGCTGATTTAAAGTATCAGGCCAATAATGTGCCCTCCGTCTCATTTAGAAAAAGCCCCATTCGCTCGGCTCGGATTCCACGCAAAAACCTTGTCTGGACCCTTGCCGCGTTTGCAAACGTCGCTTGGTTACTATCTCAAGCTGAGCAACAAACAGCTCAGAAGCGGAATTTAAAAGTGAATTACAAGTGAAAAAGACCAAGGAACATGTTCGCGATGGAAATATACTGCTTGTGCCAGGTACGGCTTAAATGTTCCCATTTGTTAGCTTGTATCAACGTAATGATGAACCCTGACCAGCTGGGTATCTTTCTAGCACCTATAAATTGTGTACGCAGCTATCGACGAAAATTAAGGTGATCTGGATGGCTGAAACGAGACAGCGACGAATTCAGGCTTGGAGTCAATAATCTTTACAATTGTGTCCTCTTAATTATCGATCCCAACTTTGTCAGAATCTTTGTGTTTATGTACATCTGCCGATGGCTCGCTTGCTAAACCTAAATTAGTACGGTGTTTATTTATTTGTCACTCCATTCACTTGAGCGTTTGATTGAGTTTTGCAACTATTCCATTCTTTCTTATCTAACGCACTTTTCTGGCATCACGTAAATTATGCTGCGAGCTGCAATTACAGCCACAGCCTACCTAACATCGTTTTGTTATTTCAACGAGTATATGTCAGGCAATCTAAGGGGGGTTAAAGTTATAGATTATTACAGAGTTGTTTCAAAATTTGACTAAAAGGACATTCTCTCTACGGAATTGATCCTCTCACTTTCATGCAAAGTTAGAATCCTTTTTTTCACCATAGAAATATAGATTTAATAATGTCCAACATGCCATTAGCCCCACTGCAAATTTTCCGGGTTTGCGGATTTCCGAAGCAGCGTTGATGTATAAAATCGTTTGATTTGAGTGCATCAGTTTTGATTTGTCTCAAATTTCCATTTCTTTCCCAGTAGATTGAATCTTATCACACTAAACTAACACTTTCAGTTCCATCTCACTAATTCTTTGTTCACAGCTACTTCTTTTCTAAAACCGTAAAATCGGTTTAAAAGTTTTTGAAATGCAATTCTGATTTCTAGTTTCTTAACGGAAATTAGTTTTTGCAGAATTCTAGCTCAAATCACAATACTGAGTCGTCCCGAACATTCTGTTGTTTCATTTTCTAATATGTAACTTTGCGATATCCCATCGGATTCCCTTCTTTGTAATTTTGTTAGAAAAAATAAGTCTTTTGCTTTTGAAATTATCTTAGTTAGAGCTTTTAATAGGTTCTGACTGCAGAGATGTACATGGAAGAATCAATCGGAGTTAGTTTGCCAGTGGACTGAAACGTGCAGGTACAAGTTTTAGTACCTACTACTCCGAATGAGACGAGTTTGTGCTGCCTGGACGTCTCTGTGAGAAAGTTGAATTTTGATTACTGCAGAAAACACCAAAACTAATCAGTTTAGGATTTTTTCTAAAGTCACAACTTTTCATAAACACTTCCAAAAACACTTCCAAAAATATAAACTTTTCACAGCTGCAAGAAGTAGGTCGATAAACTATGTGCAAAGGAATCGAGACTTTCTGCAGCATTCCAAATTCTTAGCGATCTAACTCAGAATGATCAAGGCTTATATGGCCTCCTTTTTCCATATTCATCTCTGCAGGAAATTATTGAAAATTCTGTAAGACAGTAATAACAAAAAGACTTAATCTTTCTGAAGAAATTACATAGAAGCAAACCCGTCAAGATATCGCCAAATTAAAATTTTCTAAAATAAAACGATAGAACTTTTGAGACAACCTAATGCGTTATGGGATTTATCTATTTCAGGCCGAAAATTGACTGCGCCCTTATTTCAAATAAGCAAGAATTGAAAAGTTGCAAAACATAGTTGCCAACATGACATGTAGCAAAGCTTCTCACAAAAGTCGTCAACCGTCGGTGTTAATGCACCCTCAACAATTTTTTAAACCTAAGAGTTTTGAAGACAATTCTCAGCCACTCTTTATTGGATTAATTCATACTTTCGGTTTCTGCCATCTCCTCAACATTCTGTAACGACAGACCTCCAATGAAAGACCTTGCAAGCAACGCCTATCTCGATGCTTGGAATTTCCAAGTCGAAACAACAATCGACTAGTCATCTGAACTTAGCAAAGTGCTTATAATCAGTTCTTATTCATAGGTCTGTCACACTGCATTTTGTCAAATGATTGCGTAAAAAAGATAGCAAATAGGGGCAAACACTTTCACAGTCATAAAGGCATTCAAACAAACTCCAAATTGTCTGCATTCTCAGAGCTTCCGCTTCTCCCAAAGCTATATCGTTAATAATTCTAATCTTTCAAAGATACTCCTATCTTTCGTTAGCTGAACCGAATTTAAAAAAAAGTTTTCTAGAATGTAGACCTAGAGTGGCAGACTTCTGTTCTTTTCTTCATTTATCTAAAACTGGTCAATACAAGAAGATCTCAAATCTTAGTGCCGAACTGCATTGTCATGTACATCATAAAATGCGTCCTAATAAGCAGATCCCAAACCAACCTTCCATATCTCCTGAACAATTCTCTGGAAGAATTTAGAAGAAAAAGTCAAGTATAGTCGAAAGTGTAAAGTCATCCGGATAATAATGCATAAGAGGTGAACTGACTGAGAAGAATGTACACTGAAAACCAATGTTTTGACCAACTGATTTCTGAAGCAGCGGCAGTGCAACTTGCGGAATTCGACAAGAGACCGCTCAGCAGATAGGAGTGCTAAATTTCGCTTTAACTCATCAAAACGCATGTAGTGATATGGATTCCGTTCCAGATCGCCACAGCAACTTAGTATCCCTCCCTAATTGGCAACTTTCCTTTAGAAGAGGCGCCCAGAAAATATTTCGTTAAAAAATAATCGCACCATAAGATCATCATAACTGATTTGTTTCTTCTTCTTTGAGAGAAGGGATAGGAAAGAACCCGCATGCTTCATCATTTCTGAAAACTCTCGTGTAAAAATGCAGCGCATAAACACACACTCAGACACACACACTCACAGATGGAACAAAAAGGAAAAAACTCCCAAAGTGTAAGAAAAAGCAAAGCATTAAAACTCACCTGGGCCGGTAGTAATCCCCCGACCTGGCGGCAGGTCTCGTCGGCAGGTCGCTGGCACCTTTTTCCGTGAGGTGGCCAGAAAGTGAGACCCCAAATTTGAGCCGTCCCAGGCCTTATTCCAAAAAATTTTTTTCGATAAAGATGCCACCTCGACTCTGTAGAAAACTCCATCGAAATTTGCGGATTCAAAACTTCTCCTTTAGGAAAATATCTGGAAGCGCAGGAGGAGCTGCCGGCAACTTCGCGATGTCAGTTGCCGGCAACCTGCCGGCAGCTCGTCGAAATCCGCGAGATGGTAGCTGCCGGCAGGCCAGAGAGCAAGGGAAATAGCGTGCTCTTTTGAGAGAGGGAGCTGCCGGCATCTCGACGTGCCCCTACCACGTCGAGGTGGTGGCACCTTTGCCGACGGCGTCTGTGAGTTTGCGAATTGCGGCGATACCACACAAATTACGTCAGGCAAAAGAATCAAAAAACTCTACTTTCTATCAAAAAACTATCGTTTTTCTCATTAAATGAGTTTTTCCTTTTTAAAACGACTATTTTTTTACAGAGAAAAAATCTGGTAATGCCTTAGAACCATAAAAAACACTATCTTTTTTGGCAATCCCTTCTAAATTTCGTTTGCACCGATTCGCCCCTCTCTCGCTCATATCAATCAGCTGTTCTTTCAGGTCAAAGTCTCTCACGCAATGTATTGATCCCTCTTACAGGCGGCCCTTACCGGTGCGTTCCTCTTATTGCTGGTGCAATCGGCAACGGTTGTCCGAATGGTTGAATGGTTAACGGGTGGCACTTGAAGTCAACGCACTTAGGTTCGGCCGCGCGCGAGGTAGCAGTTTTGCGGCTGTGTGCGTCATCAAAATTTGATGTGCGAAATGAAATGCGCGCTAAAGTTACATAAGATTATCAAAACCTATACTCCACGAGTTGCCGGCGAAGTTGGCATCTTTCCGCGATATGTGCCAACTTGCCGGCATCTATGATGCCACCAGGTAGGGTAGATTACTACTACCGGCCCTGAAGTCTGCAAACATGAGACGTACCAGAAAAGACGCAAAGTCGACAGATTCTTGCAACAGGATTAGTAGCAAACGAAATAGATATGAGCGGCTCCACAACTTTGGCGAGGCGGAGCTGCGCTAGCGTGCCTTGCGCTGCGGTTGCCCTGTGCTGAGGCATACTTGATCCATCGATCTTTGGTGAAGATCACGATCCCGCCTCGCCAAAGTGGGGGAGTCGACAATATGTAACGTCGAGCTAATTATGACGTGCACAACGCGCGCTGTATTTCACGCGTATTCCAATATGGCACTTGGCCGGCAAATCCCTGCGCTTTGGCAGTTCCGCGCCTTCGTGCGCCTTTGTGCGTTTTCGTGCGCCGTGTGTGAGTGTATGTTTCTGAGTGTGTACATATGTCAAGTTTAGGCTTCTGACCTCAGGTGAGTGTTAACTTTTGTGCTTGAGTTTTCTTCTTGTTTTTTCAAGCGTTTTTTCTCTTTGCTCTTCTATGTTGTCTGCCTACTATATACTTACTATCTTAGCTCTCATCACCTTTCTTTTTGAAACCAGTATTATCACTGGCATTGATTGCTGTTCCCTACTGCTGTGTGTTGTCACATTCTTGCAGAAATGTGGACCACACAGTCTGTGAGGAAAAGCTTTCTTTATGCTTCCCTTTGTATGGTAGGTAAGTTATGACCAATTAACTTTTTTCTGCAGTTTCTGTTTGTGTTTTTATGGTAAGAATCTACTGTTTTGTTAGTTTCTCTTTTTATCTCTTCTTTTACTCCATCATGATGGCGTTGATGGATGCTGTCTGCTGTTACAATCCTGCTGTGATCCGCACAGTTTGTGATGGAAAAGCTTTCTTGATGCTTCTCTTCGCATGAAAGTAGGTTACAACTACTTTACTTCATGGTGGTTATGAGAAAGTACAAATGCATGACTAATTGAATGTTTTCTTCCTTTCACTCCTACTCTTGGTCCATTTTATATCTGATCCTCAAATAGCAAGTTAGTTAGCTTATTCTCTGTCATCATTTGATTTACGTACTATATGGATATGTGAATATCTGGTGCGCAGAAGGAAAAGCTTTCTGTACAGACACTCAACCTTTTTGATCTTTGCTTTTTGATTCTTCCCTGCAGCTTTGAACGTCCAGTGATCTATTACCGCCCTGTTTTCATGTTCTTCGCAATGTCACTTGGTAATTCGACGTGTTGCAGTATGGCTTTCCAACAGTATTCCAATCTGCTCGAGAGGATGCATGTGCTGGAGGCAGTAGCGAACTTGGAATCCACTGCAAGAGAAAGACAATATGTGCGTTAAGAACACCATGGGCACCTTTCATTCCGCTTTCGCCTCTTCGATGAGTATCTGGTCACGCGTAGACCCGAGGGTTTTCTCGATTTCATCAGGCTTATGCCAGGTGAGTTCGAAAACCTCTATCAAAGGATAGGAGGTAGTATAGAACGTCTGAGGTTCCACGCTGCCCCCATCGTTGGTCGCCATAGACTAATGATCTATCTAAGGTGAAAGCGTTGACCTCATGTTCCTAGTTAACCTGACAACCATTGTTATTTTTGAGAATCGTCACACAAGGGATGAGCTTTACGGCGTTTGCACTAAATATGGGATGTGGGGTGTGCACTGTTTCAGAGATTGTCGGGGATGTCACGGAATCTATCATAACCGGTACAAGCATATAAGGACATTCGTACGCATTTGCTCAAAATCTTCCAAAAACAAAGTTTAGAGCTGCATGAAGAAGCTTTTCCTCCTGTGACGCGGCAGATGTTGACAACAGTGGCAAGAAGGGCACAAGCAATATATGACTATCCTCGAGCAGCTGGACTTATGGACGGAAAGCATATTTGCATCAGGGTTTGTGTTGCATAATGTTCGCAGAACCACAAAGGTTTTCTACAGAGGCCGGCAGACTCGGGTAGCGATTATTGGAACTACAAACATTATTATTCAATAATCGTACTAGCCTGGTGTGATAGCAATTACCGCATCCTGGCATATGACGTAAGATCAGGGGGACGTGCCGGTGATGCTGGAGTCTACCGAAGTTCCCCCATTAAAGTTTGCACTTTGACAAAATATGCTTGAGATATACATGATTCATGCCACTCAGGAGTTTTTGCAGAGCCACGATGACGTATTCCCCCTACCAGAGAGCTTGGTACTGTTGGCCCAGTTCAGTACCACATTCTCGTCAATGGAGGATTTGGACAAAGCTATAGAATGATTAGACCATACAGAGAAAGAGAAGCAAACACCGCAGATTGAAGGCGTTTCAACCGGATCTTTAGCAGGTAAGATTAGGTGTGTCAGCAGCATTGTAGATTTCTTACTATTCCACCGATCAGTGCTCGCCGCACGATCGAATCAACCTTTGGAATACTGGCTCAGCGATTCTGAATTCTCATGACCCGTATAAACCTGGATCCTGAGCGAACTAGTCGAATTGTCATTTCGCTCATGGTCAGTTCTTCGGGAAGAGCACCCCGACGTTTGCAAGCTATTGTGATACTTCCCAGGTTCTGCACAACCTGCTTCCTTGGAGGGAAGACAGTTTAGCAGAGGTGCAAAGGCACGAACCTGCACCGGATGGCTATCATTCCTTGGAAAGACAGCAGGAGATTCGAAGAAGAGGGGCAGATTTGGCCAACACAGCCAAGAACCTGATAACCCAGTACTATGTTGAAAGATACGGCCATGCCCTTTGAATATTGTGTGTGAGGAAATGTGTATAACGATCTCATGTAACTCAGATTCAATTGGTGTTTCACTTTTTTGCCAGAATTCATTTACTCCGTTCACTTCTTTATTTTGTCCGAAAAGAAAAAATATACTAATAAACATTTATCTATTATACATAGAAACGACAATTGATAATAGTCAAGTAAACAAAAGAAGGCGCAAAGAGTATTTTCAGAGCACACATAAGCTTCAAGTAGAGGTTGATATCGGTTAAACACACTATCAGACAAAGAAAAGACTGAGCCGCAATTGCCTAAGAAGTAGCATAAGTGCATACTCAGGGACTGTGATGTGGCTGTTGGGTGCTTTTTTCGGTTGAACATACTCAGAATATTCAAGATTGCCTTCCGTCATCTGGCTTCCGCCTGGCTCCGTCATTTCATAATGCAGATCAATTCCACCTTGCTGGGTGGGGTCTGGCTTCGCAGTGCTGAAGGTGATGTCGTCGTAAGCGAAAAGTTGAGCAATCAGTGCCATCATTTCGTGAGCCAATGCCTTTGTCAAACTCCTCAGAGTTTGCGATACATAATTCTCTGAAGAAGGAGAGTGGAGTACATAACCACCACTGATTGTATAAAAACACCAACCGAAATGGTAGTATTCATCAATGGGTGTTTTCATCTCTTGAAGTTGCTCCCTTACGGCGTCTGTTGCTTTGTGGACAGCTTCGATGGCTAAATCAAAACGAATCGAGAGAAAAAGTGAAAAGGTGAGACAAATGCTTCCACTAGCTTTGTCAGACTTCGACGTATACGGATATTTTCTTTTTCCAAGGTATCTTCTTCCGACATCCACTGGCGCAAGCGGTGTCCTTTCGGATTTCATAAACGAAGCTGTCTTTGTAGGAAATGGCGAAAAGTCGTCGAGCGGTGCTTGTGAAGGACTTTGCGGAAAAGACGTTCCTTGTGACGGTGGATCTGAAACATTTCCAAAAAAGCAAGTTAGTAAGGTACGCGCACTCCTCACCATCTTTATCGATGAAGATATCGTCGTCGACGGCGGCATCGTTAGTAGGGGCAAGATCGACAGCGGCGTTGTTAGTGGGACCGAGATTTGAAAAGCGAGTTCTAAACAAAAGTTTGTTTGCGTAACTAACAGAGTCTCGCATTCAATACTTACCCAGGAACTTGCATTGTAGTTTCCACAATTTGTAATAGGGCCATGATTTTCTGGCGTTGGAAGTTCGTCGGCGCTTCCGAATCGGATATAAGCTTGCCATGAATCTTTTTGTATTGGTCTCGCATCCTCTTCCAAGTTGATTTGCAAAAATCCACTGGAAAGATAGTGCTGTATCGAAACTTAGACTCATAGTAACTTACAATCGCAGACGATCTTTCTTGCAAGGAACTTTTCTAAAACTCTATCCCATGCGTCATCTCTCTTCGTTTTCAAATGATAGTCGCTGCATCGCGTATCCCCAATAGCAGGCTCTTCTTGGACAAACTGCGCTAGCAGTTCACGAAATTTGAGACTTATTTCAAAGCTGACGACTGACTACACTGAAATTGGATCCTCATTAAAAGGGATAAAAAGGCGCATGACGACCGTGCACGGCCAATAACGCTTGAAATGCAAAGAGAATGGAAGCAATGAAATTGGCGGTAAGCATTGAGTGCAAGAAGTTAGAAGGAGTAATAGCGTGTCTCGTCTCGTCTCGTTTATCTCGACACACACACATACATACACACATATACACACATACATACATACACACATACACATACATACACAAATATACACACATACACACATGCACACATATACACACATACACACATATATACATACATACACACACAAACACACACCATAACAGAACAAGAGAAATTTTCTTTGCGATAACGAAGTGAAATGGAAATTGGGAGATACATCCGTGAAAGAAGTTGACGCTACATTGAGGGTGGAAAAAGAAAGAGTACAGATACATGTAATTGTAACGTAAGAACAAAAAAGAACAGGCGCAAAGTCGACAGATTTCTGCAATAGGATTAGTAGCAAACGAAAATAGATATGTAGCGTCGAGCTAATTGTGACGTGCACAACGCGCGCTGTATTTCACGCGTATTCCAATATGGCACTTGGTCGGCAAATCCCTGCACTTTGGCAGTTCCGGCGCCTTTGTGCGTCTTTGTGCGCGGTATGAAAGATCCCTAATCACTCTCTCATTTTCGCGCTCCCCCGCGCCCTAGGGAGTTTATCGTATACACTCACGTTCCCGCGGCTTAAAATCTCTGCGAGAGAGTGTGATGTCTCGCGCGCTCACACTCTCAACAACTTGCCGTCCGCAACGCTGAAAGGGGACGCTAGAGTAGGAGACGATGTGTAGTTTTCGTCGTCGCGCCGATGTTTCCTGTTTATACATAAGAAAGATTCCAAAGGAAGTTGCGGCGAGTAGAATCTGAAAACTCGTAAATTTCCCAAAATTCACCAATGCTTCTGTATCTTATAAAAAGAAGTTGCGGCTACCTTTAGCGCACGACAATCTACGAGAGCAGCACTATTGAATAGTACTTAGTGGAGTCTTCTATGTTGGATAGGCGCTGCGCACATTTTTGCGAAAAGACCCCGCAGAAAGATTTGAGAAAACTGGCGGAATATCGAGGACACGCTATACATCAGAATGTTCGCCTTAATGAGCTGATCACGAAGCTGCTTCCGGATTCAGAATATATTTATTCCGAAAGAAGTTATACGTACTGTGCTGCGTACACTGTGTGGTTCCTTTGATTCCGCGGAATTTCCGGGATGTTGCGAAGTTTCGCGACGTTTACGAAAATTTTGCACGTTCTGGGCGGCATTGCAATACAAAGTCATTTTATAGGTTCCGTTTGGAATTTACACGATGTCACCAACAGCTAATGCATGTAATCAGCTCACTGTGCAACCCAATCCAGGCAGAATTTTGAAAAGACTCGTTAAAACTGACAGACTACCATGCACCTACCGTACTCGCCTATGTAGCCAAATGAGTCAGTTCATAATCAGCGCATTCGATCGCCCCACTGAGCAAACTTTCGAAAATATACAGGGTGTCCGTAAAGTGTGTATACACTGTTTGATCGTTAATATCTCTTTTCCCAAGAAGTCTTCTGCCTTGCTTCAGGTACCATTTTATAGAGCTGGCTTCAACTTAGATTTACGGTATAAAACGAAATACCCATCTCTCTTCATTACGGTAGGATTACGGTAGAAACTTGGAACATATGGTGTCAATGTAGAAAAAGCTGCCGTTTCAAAATTTTTCAAAAAAATGTGAAAACTTGTGTAACAGGGTTTTACGGACGCTGAGTTCAATACTCAACTATTTACAAAATTGCGAAGCTTTCTAAACGGTGTAACCGCACTTTTTAGGTACATTGAAAAAATGGCCACTACCTCTTACCTGGCATAACTCTTCAATGAAGCATCATAATAAGCTGGGAACTTTACAATTAGAATCAGCAACTCTAATTAGCCTAGTGTAAAAGTTTTCAGGCTGTTTTGTTTCCTTTCTGAGGCAAAATATGGTCTTTCATGGCTCAAAACCCTATTTGAAGTTTCTACCGCAATCCTACAGTAATGAAGAGAGATGGGTGACTCGCTCCATACTGTAAATCTAAGTTGAAGCCAGCTCTACAAAATGTTACCTGAAGCAAGGCAAAAGACTTCTTGGGAAAAGAGTTATTAACGATCAAGCAGTGTATACATACTTTACGGACACTCTGTATATGTGCAAGCTCTCATCGACTCTCACTCTCTTGACTCTCACCGTACAGTTGCCGTAACTCTACAGTATACCACGACTGCAACAAATAAATATTATTTTCGTAGTGAGCACGTCGTAAGCCCTCTATGCAGAGCTTTAAGCGTACCCGTGTAAATTCACTTTTTTACCGTGCACCTATATGTACCCCCACATCTGACATATCAAAATATGCTCCGCGCCGAGCTGAGTCGAATTGTTGCTTTGGTAAAGAATTCGTCCACTTTGAAGGGGGATACGGCCACGAGACGGTGATGTCACATGAATTAGGCAACCGTCATATAATTTACGCGACCGTTGCGTATTTACGCGACGGTGCGTAAGTTTACCTTGACTCGTTTTTTTTTTCAAAAAATGTGAGCGGTATTGTATTCTTTCAGGATTTATGCAGCGACTCAAACTACAATTCTGATCTGAAGAATAACAAAGCTATAGCCGGAACAGACAGCGCCAAGTTTTAGCGAACTCTGAGATCTCCGAATAGTAAACATGCTGTATGGAACAGTAATTTTAAACATGATTATCTTCATTTTAAAGTTGACTAAGCTATCTCTTTTTTGCACTCAATACAGAGCACTACCCTTCCTTCCCTTGCATGAGAAATCCCACTTCAAGAAATCTCCAAGCTATGGAATCAGAAGACTGCCAAATTCCACTTTCAAATTTCAATGGTTGCGCTTTTATCAACCATCACTTATGCTATAGAAAAACAGTTAGGCTTAAAATTGAAGGTAAGTTAATGGGGTGTGGCACCCCCTCCCCCTTAAAAAGTTGTGGCCGCCACAGTTTTTGAGGGGGGGGGGGCACACCCCATTAATTTACCTTCAGAACGCTCAAACGAAAGCCTTTTTTGTACTAATCTAATGAGCCATCCTTCCTCTTCACACTAGCATTTGCCGTGCAAACCGCAACCTCTAAGAGAAGATACAGCGGATTTTCTGAACCCTATGCGCTGAAGCTTGGCTCTGAAAAGGGTTGAGAATATCAGGGTACAGTAGTGCTCCAAAAATTGCGAACACGCCAAGGCGCGAGCCGCTAGGCTTTGAAATCTGCATACAATATTAGGCTGTTCTCGCTTCTTCTTTTCTTTCCTCTCTCTCTCTCTCTCTCGCTTTCTTTCATCTCACTCTTTCTTGCTCTATCATCTAATTCGGCAATCATTGAACAACTGAGTCCACACTTTCGCTATTTCGTTGTTTTAGCATGTGCGGTTGCGTTTTAGTTGAAGAAGTGATCGAGGAGATTCGAGAAAAGAAGACTTATCGTAACTGGATGAACTCTATGGGATTTAATCCTTACCTTAACTGGCTCTATAGCGATTTGCAAAACAATAGAGTCATCTTCCAGGTGATTTCTTTCTGACACAACAGTTTTCGATATTGTTTGGAATGCACACAATTTCTTTTGAGTCCTTTGTTTGTTAATCACGGCATTTTCTAGCTTTACGATATAATTCGACCGGGAGTTGTACAGTGGAAACGAGCAGTAAAGGTGTTCCATAAATTGAGAGGAATGATGGTCCAGATCCAAAATTGCAATTCGTTGAAACTTGCTGTTGAACTCGGCGAATAGCTACGATTCACTTGTTGGTATCCAAGGAAAAGATATCTATCTCGGAAATCCAAGCGTACAATACCGCTCATAATTCGTCAAAAAAGTCGCCGGACTGCGGCGGAGTGCGCTAGAGTGCGTCGGAGTGTGGTGGAATGTGGCGCAGTGCGCCGGAGTGCGGCGGAGTGCGCTAGAGTGCGTCGGAGTGTGGCGGAGTGCGGTGCAATGCGCCGGAGTGCGGCGGAGTGTGGCGGAGTGCGCCGCACTCCGGCAACTTTTTTGACGAATTATGATCGGTATTGTATACGGAGTTAGTGGAAGGAAATATACATATATTAGGTGTATAATAACATCAAAAGTAGGCGGGGCTTACAGTTCACAGCTCAACAGCGATAAAATCGATATTTTGAGGTTATAGAACTATCAAAACCTCAAAAATTGTCAAAAATCGATGAAATCGATATTCTGGAGGTTGCAAAATTCCCAAAAATTGTCAAAAATCTATAAAATCGATATTCTGGAGGTTGCAAAATTCCCAAAAATTGTCAAAAATCGATAAATCCGATGTTTCTCAAACTCCAAAACCTCAAAAATCGTTAAAATCGATATTCTGAAGGTTGCGAAATTCCGATCTATAAAATCGGAGATTTGGAGAATTTGGAGATTTCCAAACTCAAAAACTTCGATTTTTCTAGTTTTGGAGATTTACACCCTCACCTTTAGACCCCAAGACTCCATCCACTTGACAAGGCTCCGCCCACTCAACCGCAAGACCCGCCCACTTCACCCAAACACCTTCAAATGAAGCTCTACCCCCTCTTCCTCCCAACTCTACAAAATTAGCGAAAAATTACGCTATAGATTTGAGAGCGAAAAATAACTTCGCTTTCAGCGCTTTGACACAGCTAAAACTCCTCCAAACAAGCTCCGCCCACTTTATACCCCCACACCACGATCGAAATTGAAGAAAATAAGAAAAATTAAGAAAAAATGAGGAAAAATAAGGAAAAATCGCGTTTTTCTAAGCTTATTTACCCCTTTCTAGCCGGTTTCAGCCCCCCAACCAGGTCCAGATGGCCGCGGGTAACTATCAAACGCGCTGCACAAATAAAGAGAGGGGAAAAAATGAGGGGGGAGATAAGTGAGAAATTGCGAGACCCTGAACTAAAAAAAACGTCCGGGAAGGTTTATAGATGGGCTCCCACAGGCGGAGCCCCTGCATTTTCTCCGAATTATATGTGGTGTCCCCCTCGAATACGAATAGAAGAACGGCTATCCCAGCCCGTCATCCCCACTCTCCACGGAGATAAAATTCAAGATATGCATCATCGCCTTTATATAGCGCCTCCTACGTTGAAGTTATAAGCATGAGCTACCCCTAGAGAAATGGAGCTACCAAAACTAAACGTTAATAACGGTATGAGATTACCCCAGCCCTGCAACTCTTAGAAATATAAGCGCGCAAACTCGCCTTTATTGACAGATTTCCCAAGTTCAACTGTCAACTAGGCACTTTTATTGAAAATTTGTTATCCTACAACCTTTTCTCTAAAAATCATATTTTTAGAGATCTGTCCAACAAAACAAATACCAGCCCCATACCTATAATATTCGCAGAGTTATTAGCCCCGCAACATGCAAGCTCAGGCCGTAAAATTGGCTCCCCCAAAGTTGCCCCGTAATTCCCCAAAAAATCACGTTAGACACCTGTTTCATACTTATACATCACTTATTTTTTCCAGCTTCTTAGAAGCAATACACATTGATATAGCGCGATCGCTCCTCACTCTTGGCCTCGGCGCAAAATTTGGTCAAAATATTGAGATTTTCGCATTGACCGCCTTCACTCATAGTGGTTCTTGGTCCCGATCTTTACGAAAATCCTATTTATTTTGCAGAGAGTCTTACAGTAAAGCTAAAGTGAGATAGAAGTAGGTGAACCAATCAAGATCGCAACTTCGCCTGCACTTTTTCCCTACCTGTTGCGGAAATTGTCTGCAAATTTTTGTGAGTTGAAAACCTTGTGAACACCTCTATCGGACCATGCTTAGCACAGATCTTCATTTGAATTGTTCGTCAGATTACGATGTTACAAAATCGTCTTCTCATGAATTCTCTTTCAAATTCGAAAGTCGTGTAATTTGGCAGATATTCTATCCTACAATGTGCCACCAGCAGCAAAACAATGTAAGAAATGTTGTTAGCACGTCGAGTACAATACCGCTTACAGAATGTGCAAAATTTCCCTGAATATCGCAAAATTCCGAAAATTCCGCGAAATTCCTGGAATTTCGCGAACTTTCAGGAGTTTCGCGAAATTCCGGAAAGTTCGCGGAATTTTCGGAATTTCGCGACATTCACGGAAATTTTGCAAGTTATGTGAGTGGTATTGTAGAATGCAAGAAGATGCCCAACGATTGTTACAAGAGCGCAACGATACCAGTGTGGAAGAACAAGGGGGATATAACAGACTGCTCTACATACAATACCGCTCATAATTCGTCAAAAAAGTCGCCGGACTGCGGCGGAGTGCACTAGAGTGCGTCGGAGTGTGGTGGAGTGTGGCGCAGTGCGCCGGAGTGCGGCGGAGTGCGCTAGAGTGCGGCGGAGTGTGGCGGAGTGCGCCGCACTCCGGCGACTTTTTTGACGAATTATGATCGGTATTGTAACTCTTGGTATAACTTTGCTTTATTCATTTTTTTGTTATCTTCATCATATCTGGTTTTTAGCACTTGTTTGGCAGTTGACGAGGGCTTACACGCTTACAATATTGCTCCGTGCACACAAAGTGGAGACTCACTTCCTGCTGACAAAGATATTGTAGCACGGGTCAACGGCAAGGTCAAACTAGTTTGTTTACGTTCAAAAACTCATTTGCTTTTCTTAATATTATTTATCTTGGATGTATGTTGCATTGTCAATAAGGGATGTTTCACTTACCACCATCTTTTCGTAACCTTTTGACGCAGATCAAGTTGCAAACTAAATCGTAAGTTCCGGAACAGTACCAGCACAATGTACATCTCGAGCGCTGTGCTGGGCCTATTCTGAAACTTACGGATCAGCAAAGACCCACTTGTTTTTCTTTTTTTAGAGTCTTTGAGTCGAATCAGGCTTGTTCAGTAGCTTAAACAAGCTCGCAGAAATCAAGATAAAAAGATATTGGTTTTGGCTGAGGTCCTCCTCAAATCTTCGTCAATACGATTGTTCCAAGTTCCCTGCATTTCGGATGCGATTGTCGTTCTGGATCTGATCGTTGCACCAGACCCAACCTTATCAACCAAAGCTTGGTTGGTCAAAACATTTCCATCCTTTTGTGCAAGAGTGGCATTATGCTGTTTCAGATAAAAGCTGACGGAAGCATAGCGAGCAGAATGGAGAACGCTAAATATGCCATCACATGTGGTCGACAAATCGGTGCCAAGATCTACACACTGCCTGAGGACATTGTCGAGGTATGAGGAAATATAGATTACCATGTATATGAATCTGAAATGCATTGTTCTAGGTAGTACCAAAAATGGTAGTGATTGTGTTTGCTCGCCTCATGGCGCGTAGCTACATGCCGGACATGAGGGAATCGGCAGCACCCTTAACGCCAATGATGACTAGTTTTCCTGTAGAAAGTTTTCGTGCTTGCGATTTCCTTCCCTTCTACAGAGTTTTCACATCCGACCTTCACTTCACTAGTTGTACTTACTTCAGTGTGCGTGCATCGCACTTTTTAGTGCTCCGGTTCGTTCCATGTCAGTATCCGGTTCGTCTCGTTTTAGTTTACAAAATTCCAAACAGTTTTATTTGATTTTCTCGCTTTGATGATACATGTTTATCATCTGTTTTCTCAGAACCGACCCACCATTGATACGCTTTCTTTGTTATGAAATGTTCGCTTCACCACACACTCACTTTTTGACTTACCGTGGTTTCGTAGTGGTTCTTCCATATCTGATTTTCATTTCTTTCTTTCAAGGCTTAAACAGAGCAGTAAATATTCTAGCTTGCGAACTCAACTTATTTGCGTATCGGTCTGTTATCGTTTTCAATCAAGGTCTTTTAGTGGTGTTTGTATAATGAATGCTACATCTTTTTTGATTTTTATCGTCAGTGCTCAACTGCAACAGAAAGTTGACGAAAGAATTCTTTTCAGTCATATGCTTGCAAATTCCAGGTGCTTCTTTTGTCACATTCAAAAAGAATGATAACGGGACGATAGAAAATTGGGGGGGGGAGGGTGGTATCCGACGGTCGTGTGCTACAGCCCCGCTTTAACCTGGTTACCGCCCCATTTGCTAGCAGTAGTTACGAAATTACAGAATCATATTAGTACCCTAAAATTATAATTCTTGTGGAGCTAACTTACAATGCGCTCAACGGGGCCAGCGCCGCGTAGTGCAGGCACACACCTGCGCGCGAGCGGTACCGTAGGCGCAGCATGCAAGGCCAGCAGTGCAAAGGGCGTAGTCCTTGTTTTAGCTACTCTTTTGCTTGTTTCTTACAAGGGAACGATCCCAACTTAAAGGCAGTGGCTCGGCAAATCTCAACCTAGTCAAATTTTCGCTTACCTGAGATTATTCAATGCGCTGATCCCGAAAATCCACATTAGAAAGCTTGAAAACGTCGAAAATAAACTTTTTCAATGCCCTTTTCTTTGGAATTGGACGAGTGGAGCAAGGTCGATGACGCTCGTTGCAGGACCCAATGGGTATAGCGTTGCGGCGGGCAGCCTCCAATGGTGAGAAGGACATTGCCAACTCGTCCAGATGCGTTTAAGATTGGCCTGCGCGTATAAGTTTGAAAGCGATTTTCTCGGCAGGGAAAGTATACTGTGCCACCGGGATTGCACTGTTTCCATACTTGGGCGATAAGGAATAACGCGTTAAAATCCTGAGTTGTTGGACTTTGCCGATCCACTGCCTTCAAGGTGGCGGACTGAAATGAAACATATATCAGTAGATGCGTCTTGATGAGCTGACTCCAAATCTACCTTCCTTTTCTGCGATGCCATTCATTTGAAGAAGTTATGAGCGGTTAAAAATGTGAAGCAATCGAGGTTTTAATGCATAATGTGCTTCAAAATCAACACGAGAGTACATGACCAGCATGATACATAGTGTACCGATTTCAAGGAATGCTCACGTTCAAAGAAAACACAAATAAGTATTTTTAAAGCTAAAAAACAATCAGACTTCTTTGTTAGAAGCTATGAGCAATAAAAAGTCTGAATATGTCATATATACAGCGCTATATCTCAAGAATTAGTTGATCAAAAACACTCTTTGTGTTTCCGTTGATTGTGAACAGTCCTCTAACTCAGTACTATACTATCATGTCACTCATGCAATCAATCCAGTTGGATATCAGAGCACTTTATACACTGAAACCCAAATGCTTCACACATTTAACAGCTCATAACTTTTCCAGAGAACGGCGTCGCAGATACGGGTAGATTTGAAATCAGCTCATCAAGACGCATCAAATGATATGCAGTTCATTCCAATCCGCCACCTTAACTTGGGATCGTTTCCTTGTTAGCTTATTCTCTATCGTGCTTCAAAAATCCTGAGCTTCCTTTGTCTGAAACTTTACTTCAGTATTTTCTGAGATTTCTCACCGCGCGAATGGAAGACGAATTAAAGTTCTGAGGTCTTTTAAAGAAGAAGTAATCTAGTCATTTCATTTGAAAATTTTGAGAACGACTGGTGCTCTTTCTCCTTACAGCAAAAGGTGAATATCGTAAGATTTAATCGTATATCGTAGGTTGAGAGAATAGTTTGATAAACCGCACGTTGACGCTGTTCACACAAACCTTAATTATATACGATTATGTCAGTTGAAGCGCGAGTCGATATAATGAATGACATCCAGAATCAGCCATCCGAAGAAGTCTGAATGAAATGAAAGATGTCGTGAGGAAAAACGCTCAAAGATTTGATACCTTCTTCCTTTGCTGCGAAAAAAAAATCGTATCCGGTATCAAGGCAGATCGCATATGAGCAGAAGCAAAGTAAAATGACAATCCGCCGCTACAAAAACGAAAGATTACAAGATGAAATAATAAAAACAAGGTCCGCGATGCTGTGCGCAGCATAGTCCCTGCACGATGCACGTACGATAACGCTCCCGCTTAGATGTGTGACTGCACTACGCGGCTCTGGCCCCGTCAAACGCATTGTACCCAGGGTCAAGCAAGGGGTGTGGCACACGATCGCTGGTTACGACCCCCCCCCTGATTGCTGTCTCAATAAGACCCCCCCTGGACTATACCCTTGAGATAGCATTACTTGGAGGCCCTGTCAAACATAATGGGCAATATATCCATAATGAGCATGTCAATTAACCCCTGTAGACAAAGTTTGAGCGAATTCTGAAGATTCAAGATACTAGGCTACCTAAGTGAAATGGTCAAATTCCAACATGGTTAACTTTGTTTCAAAGGTGAATTAGCTATCCGTTTTCGCACTCAAGACAAAGCACTACTCCTTCTTTGTCCACCTCAGGAATCCCGCTTCAGAAGACCTCCAAACTGTGGAATTAGAAGCCAACCAAAATCTCGTTTTTCCCATTTTTCGCTTTTGATCGCTGTGCTTTCACCAAATATTACTCAGAGCTAAGAAGACGAATCAGGCTCAAATCACTCCTGTGAAAACTAGGTGATCTAGGCTATCGATCCGTATGAATACTGTCCGCTAAAAATGTCTTTTTGATATAGTTAATGGCCTGCGGCACCCCCCCCCCCCCTCAAAACCTGCGGCAGCCGCAGGTTTTAAGGGGGGGGGTGCCGCAGGCCCTTAACTATATCAAAAAACATTTTTAACGGACAATATTTATATGAATCAATAGCCTAAACCTCGTAGATTCATTAGGGATGTTTTGAGCCTGATTCGTCTTCTTAGCTCTGAGTAATATTTGGTGAAAGCACAGCGATCAAAAGCGAAAAATGGGAAAAACGAGATTTTGGTTGGCTTCTAATTCAATAGTTTGGAGGTCTTCTGAAGCGGGATTCCTGAGGTGGACAAAGAAGGAGTAGTGCTTTGTCTTGAGTGCAAGAAGAGGTAGCTTACTCACCGTTAAGATGAAGTTAATCATGTTTTAAATTACTGCTTTATACAAGGTTGTTTACTGCTCGGAGACCTCAGAGTTCGCTGAAACTTGGCGCATAGGGGTTATTCGACACGCGGATTACGACAATTATGCTTGATTAGAGGTACGGTATTTTACGGTAGGCATACGGTATCTGCAAGTTTGTGTCGTTGAACTTGAATTTTGCAGGATTTCAACAGCGCTTTCATCAAGTCAATTTAGTCACACAGCTTGTACAAGTGCTTTTGACCTTGGGTCGATACGACCCCCCCCCCTACCTACCCCCCCCCCCTAACGACCCCCCCTGCGGCGTGCCGCACCCCCCGCTTTACCCTGATTGTACCTATAGGTCAATACCTATAGGTCATTCGAAAAATCTTAACGATAGCGCGACCGCGCACAACACGCACGCATCTTCCGGCAACCGCATTTTCTTGGTTTTGATTGCTACTTGAATGGTTTTCCTGCTTACACATGATGATATTTGATATAATATGATGATGATATACACACTGGAGGTGACTAATTGTAAGTTGAGCTTTGAGGTGAAACTTTTTTGTACAAGTGTTTTATGCTCATGTGGCGCAAAGGCCGCAGTCAATTCCGTCGTCACGCTTTCAAAAATCACCTAACCTCGAGTCATTCGTAACTTAATATGCGAGACTGCACACTAAGCCCTATCAGCGACAGCACCCTTACTGTTAACTTTCCAGTAAAACATTTTTTTGCCTAACAAAGCATTACATTTGTTACTGTAAGGAAGCGTTAATCCAATTTTCGTAGTTTTTCATTACCGTTACACTTTGTTTCAACGAAACCTTTCATTATAGTTACTCCTTCGAATTAACGGAATTAGCGGCTGGTAGACGTCCACTTGCACCCGCAACGCAATCTGCGTCTCTTTCGCGGCCGCCAATCCCCTTGAATGGGAAAAGGTAGCTTATTGACGACAGCGGCTTATTTGCTTGGTAGCGCTATGGGACAACGCGCACAACATGTTCGTGGTTGTTTATTTTGTAATTATTTACGAGAGATTTTTATATGTACCAACTACCGAATGTAAAGATTTTAGAAAATCGATGAAATCGAGGGGTCATTTTAACCTGAAGAGTCTGAGCTAACTTTAGATTGGACCTGACAGAAACGTACGTGCAAACATGGACGCAGACATAGACAGAAGAGACGGACAAACAGAGTGAACTTATACTTGAAGAGTACCCAAGAACAAGTATCAGCATACGAGATTGTGAACTGCTACGATTATAGATTGTCACACTTCCTTCTGTAACTGCGCATATGAGCACCTTAAGTGTTTAAGAACACGAAGTAAATTCATTGTTGCATATTTGTACGCTTATGAATGCAGCCTGTCAAGTTCATCTATAGTCCGAAAAAAAATCAGTAAATTAACTCGGTCATTTTCCGGTATTTACCGTACTGTGGACCGAATTTGACAGGCTACATTCATAAGCGTGCAAATATACAAATTCAATTTACTCCGTTTCAAATACAAACAACTAAGTTGGTCATATGCGCTCTAACAAAGGAAAGACCCCCGATCAGTCGAAGTGAGGTTCCCAAGGCACTAACACCAAATCCATGTTCCTTAGCTGCTCAGCAATCTTTCTAGGAATATTTACGAGTGATGGTTTCCCAGGATGACCACGGATCGCTTAAGTTAGGGGCGCCGAGAATTGTCAGTTGTGTACGGATGGCGAGTGG